AGCATTACGTCATCTTCTTCCACTGAAGTTCCAGCAAATAGTCAACAGAGGTGCCAATGCACACTTACCACTGCACGAACCTGCCAGCGTCTCTCCATCCTCGGCTGGACACAGCCAGGCTCCTTTGCGTGGTAGGTCTGGCCCTGCATGATCTGGCTCCTTTATTCCTCTCCAGGAATCAATCTCTTTTCATCTCAAACTCTGCCTTCCGGCAACACTAAACTGCTCAAGTGACTGCCCACCATGCTATTCCATGCCTCGTCCATCCTCAACTTGTGGCGTACTCTGTAGTTGAAAAATGTCTTTAACTCACACGTCTTTCATTCTTCCATCTTCCCTAAACAAACTCAACACTTTTGCCAAGTATTCCCCACAGCTCCATCTCTGTGACCAACTAGCTCCCTGCACCTACCCTCCCCCATTCCTATAGAGGTCTGTGCCCTCCTTTGACCTGTTTGGCATGTTTCTATCATTACACGTTACACTGTTTCTCTTTATCCTTTTGTATTATAACCATCTGTACCTCTGTCTCTCTCCTCCACTAGATGTGACCCCCTGAAGCAGGAATAGTTTTTCTGTATCAGAGCCTGATGCCCTGCACATAGTAGGTCAAAGAATATGCTATTCAAATGAATGAAAACTAAAATGAGCGAAGAGGCTTACTATTCTATGGGTTTAGTTCAAGGCAGACCTCGGAATCCTTCCACCAGCAAAGGAACTAAGATTAAATAATCTGTTGTGGAATCTCTGGCCACTTGTTCCGTCACTGCAATGGAGTGCTTTACATGAGTAGAGGCATTTCTCAAGGGGGGCCTGGGCTAATCCATTCCCCAATAAACAAAGAAAATGAGAAGTCAACACTTTAGAGGGAAAAAACCTGGTGCCAATTCCACACTTTGAGTAATAGTATTTGCTCTGTGGTCTATGCTGTACTGTTTGTTTGCTTTTTCTCTCACAGCATTAAAAATGGTCTTGAATTATCTTTGATCTTCTTTCAGTGGATAGCAATTGAAAAGGAAAAAAAAGCACAGTAGATGAGGGGAAATAATATTTTTAATATGTTAATAGTTTTCTCACAAAGAAATGGAGGTAAAGAGGTTTATTTTTTTTTTATTTTTTATTTTTTTGCTGTACGCGGGCCTCTCACTGCCGTGGCCTCTCCCGTTGCGGAGCACAGGCTCCGGACGCGCAGGCTCAGCGGCCATGGCCCACGGGCCCAGCCGCTCCGCGGCATGTGGGATCCTCCCGGACCGGGGCACGAACCCGTGTCCCCTGCATCGGCAGGCGGACTCTCAACCACTGCGCCACCAGGGAAGCCCCAAGAGGTTTATTTTTTAAACTCATTTGATTATCCTAAATTCAGTAGGTATGTTATTGCCAAACACTTCCTTTTAAAAGACATGTCATCTAATAACATCTAACATTAATATATCTTTTATTTGTTCAGAGTAAATAAAACACCACCAGTAATTACCACTAGAAGTTTTATGAATGTGGCTGCATTGCTGACAGAATTTGATTAAGCTTTGTATCCTTGTGTACCTATTCTGGTCTAATGAGATGGCCTTAAACATATCTCAGAGAATTTCTTGGGCAGAAGCACTTTCTAAGAAATCAGAGTAAGGAAAGAGTCCAGAGTTATTTTTGTTTCATTTCCCTTGAAAGATTTAGCTGCACATTTACCATATGTATTTATTACATTTGATTTGAATGTGAGAAATTAAAGAAAAATGTCATTAAAATAATTTCCAAAAAACTATACCCTTTGTAAGAAGAAAAAGTACAGATACGGCAGCTAACAATTGTAAAATATTTGTGCTGCTGACTTAGGATCTTTACTACAGATGAATGGATGAAATACAGTTGGGTACAGAGGCATATAAAAGGAAAAAAAAAAAGGGAAATTAAGATAACTAGAGTAGGCAGACTAATGCCTCCCAGAGAGAGATGTCCACATCTTAATCATCAGAACCTGTCAATATGTTTTGTTATATGTCAAATTAAGGAATTAAATTTATAGATGAAATTAAGTTTGCTAATCATCTGACTTTAAAAGAGGTTGTCCTATTTTATCCATATGGGCCCAGTGTACTCACAAGGGTCCTTAAAGGTGGAAGAGGGGCCAGAAAAGGAGGTCAGAGTTACAGAGAGATTTGAAGATGCTAAGCTCCGGCTTAGATGATGGAGGAAGGGACCCCAACTCAAGGAATGCAGGCAGCTTTCAAGCTAGAGCAGGCCAGGAAATGGATTCTCCCCTTGAGCCACCAGAGAGGAACATATTCCTTCTGACACCTAGATTTTAGCCCAGTGAGACTTCCAACTCAGCAGACTGAAATAAATTGATAGTGTTTGTGGTAATTTGTTACAGCTGCAAGAGAAAATTAATACAAGTACATTCATACAATTTAATACTATAGTCATCAGAAATAATACTTAAGAAGAATACCTAATGATGTGGGAAGTATTCGTGGTATATTGTTAGGACAGAAAATCAGATAAGGAAACACCATATACAGTAAAATCAAACAGAAGAATGTTTATATACCTGTTTAGATAAGCTCTGAAAGACATACTATAAAATGTTATTCATGGTTCTCTATGGCTGCTGGGATTATTTTTCCTTCTTTTCCTGTATTTCTCAAGTTTCTTTTGCAATCTGAAAACAAAATTAAATGTTGAAAATGATTGACCTTAAAACTGGAGATAGGTTAATCTACTAGTCGCATTTTTATCTCCTTTCAAAATATTTTTAAGAAAGGAGATTTTAATTATATTTAAATGGCAAACTCCTATAGGTTAGCTTGTTCTCAATCTCTACCAAATTTCTGCATCTCAAACACAATTTAAAAGATAAACAGTATGTTAATGTATTGTCTACCCGCTTTATTTTTGGAACGTTTTCTTTACAAACTAAACTTTTGAAACCTGGGCTGTACGAAATTAGAAAATATTTTTGACATAGAAAGATAAGTCTTTGAATGGTATTTGTGTTAATGGTACCAGGATTAAGCAAAAGAACCAAATAGCACCTGCAAATAGCACGTGCCTAAGACTGAAATCTCAGGTGAACAAACTTACCTTTACGGGTTCAGCTGGATAATCCCTTTTCTCTTTCCTTACGGATTCACTACTGGTACCCACCATTGTCTTTTTTTTAAAAATAAATTTATTATTTATTTATGTCTGCGTTGGGTCTTCGTTGCTGCACGCAGGCTTTCTCTGGTTGCGGCGAGCGGGGGCTACTCTTCATTGCAGTGCGCGGGCTTCTCATTGTGGTGGCTTCTCTTGTTGCGAAGCACAGGCTCTAGGCACACGGGCTTCAGTAGTTGTGGCTCATGGCCTCAAGAGTGCAGGCTCAGTAGTTGTAGCGCACGGGCTTAGTTGCTCCGCGGCATGTGGGATCTTCCCGGACCAGGGCTTGAACCCGTGTCCACTGCATTGGCAGGCGGATTTTTAACCACTGTGCCACCAGGGAAGTCCCCATTGTCTTTTTTTTTTTTAAAAAAAAGTCACTGCCTTTTCTTCCTGTTTTATGTATTTGATTTTCATTAGTGGTGGGTTTTATTGTAGTTCTTTATATTTGTAGAGAACATAACTTAAAGGAAATTAAACTTCTATAAGTGGGATAAACTCTCCGTGTTTAGTCAGATCCTTTATTTGATGTCATAACTATTATTTAACTACACAAATAAAACTGCTAAACTTTAGCATAAACAGGCCTGGTTCCAAGTCAGTGCAGAATGTTAAGGATTTAGTACCTGGGAGGCAACAGACTGTAGCGACCAATAGGGGGTGCTCCAGCGCTAGGCCTACCTGGGTCAAATAATGGCTTCAAGTTCTCTCTAGCTCGGTGCTCCTGGCGGCAAGTTACTTCATTTTCTTGAGCCTTCTTGTAAAATGTAAAGTGACTATCCCGATCTCCTAGTGTTATTGTGAGAATTAAAGGAAATAAAATGCCTTTTCCATGTGTAAATAATCAGTAAACGGTGGCTATCGTTCCTGGAATGCCCTTTTTACCAAGTGCTCTTACTTAACACAATTTAAGAAAATTCAGTAACTGCTTGTGTTTGCATTCTCTATGGTTACTTCAAGGAATGTTTTCTTATTAAGTGTGATAAAGTAATACATATGTGACAAGAAACTGCTGCTGTATGAAAAGCTGTCAGAAGTGGCAGAAAATTCTATTTGACCTCCGTGTTTATGAGAGTTTTATATCACCTCATTTGAATGAGAATATGAACCTGCACCCAATTTCTCCAGAATGCTTTATAAAGGGGATGTGATCTCTATTCTCTTGTGACAGAGGGTTAAGAAGGACCAGAGTGTTTTCAGGTACAAGTTACAAAGGAAAAGGAAAGCAACATGGTACTTCGTTTTGGCCTTTGAGCTCTCCCAGGGAAACGATGGGAATCCTGGTACCCTCATTCTTTTAGATGAATGTGCAAAAAGCAGAAGATGTGGGGGGAATTTACTCCTTGGTGGATGGATGTGGGAGTATAAGTGAAGATGAAAACGAAATGAAAACAAGAGCACCTTGCTGGAACTCCCTTTCTCTAATCCATTTGCTTTATTATCTCTATTAGGGATTTTTTATGTATAGGCTTATCTCAAACCGGGGTGTTACTTTGTTAAATAGTAACCATGCCAAAGCTTCAAATACTCTTATGACAAAACCCAAAGCATAAACAGGCACTTAAAACAGGTATGTTTCTCCCAAAATGTTAAATTAGGAGTGATTAAAAGAGCCAGATTACTCATGAAAAATGGGGAATAAAAGATAAATTCTTAAATCAGATTTAAACAGTCAGATGAAATACCCATGGTTTGCTAATCTGCTTTACCCCTTCTTGGAATAAATTATTTATTAGACTGAGTGTGGAAGCTCTGGGGGACCTTGGGATGTTCTTGAAATATGTTTGAACTGTCAATTTTGTGCTAAATGTAGGTATAAAATAACATTTCATATCATTCAGAAAGTTTATAAGGTTTCACAATCAGTGTTTTAACACAGAAATCTGTTTATTAAACCCAACAAAACAGAGAAAATTATACCAGCCCTCAGTTTTTGAATTTTCATTTAAATAAGCAAACTCTAAATCCACACCTTAAAAGATGTTTGTGCATCTATGTATTTCCAAAATACTCATATTTCAATAAGATTTTCACATTATATTCACCAACAGTATCACAAAAGTTCTTTTTTGTTTTTTTGTTTTTTGTTTACGTAACTGTAAGGAACAGTAATTCTAGAAACACTAGAAGAAAAGAGCATAGCAATGTCCACAGTTACAAGAAAAAGTGCACATTACTTGGTCACAATCACAGTCATTACTTGAAAAACTATATGTAACAAGTAGTTAAGAAATATCACTGATGTCTTCAACTTATTATCAAAAACCAAATGACATAAATTTTACATGAAATAAGGCAAATTCAGGAATGCACAAAGAACCTGTAATCCAACCGAAGCCAAACAACAGAAAAGAATTGTACAAGAAGCGTAAACTGATGTACTCCTCCCTAACTATTTAAAAAATAGGCTTGCCTCAGTGCACAAAGAAAACACCATTCATGTGTATTCAACACTATAAAATAAGGAAGAAGGGCAAAATATGGGGAAGAGGAGGGGACAGTTCATTGTAGATTGCAGCTGCATCCACTGAGAGTTCTTTACATCATTTTTACCTACAACTGTAAATTATACAAATTATATCAGGAGAGGTAATGGTCTTTTTGGGAACTATTTCTGAAAGAGAGAAAAGAAAACTACACACAAGAGTGCAAATTTTCAGATTGTCACTTGCAACCTCTTTAACATTCAGTCATCGACATCCAATGGCTGCTAGAGGGATGCCCATAAGACAGCAGCGGCAATCTGGGGAGAGCAGCTGTAAGAAATCAAGGTGTCATTTTTTTTTCAATGATATGTCTTTTTCAATATTAAAAAATTCTGTGGTGAAAACCGCTATGGTAAAGCTGCAATGGTGAGTGGGATGCTTGAGACCAGCATGAGTGCAGAAACGCAGGCTTCTCTTGGAAGTAGTTCCTGATGCGACGATTTAAAGAACGTAGGCCAGGGTATTTTTTTCCCCCAGCATCGTGTTATTTTTGTAGAAAGAATTTGGAAAGAGGAGAAGGCAAAGGGAGGTGGAAAAGGTACTTACAGTAGTTTCTCAAAACAGTTTTCTTTTAGGACCTATGAAAAAGTTACCAAAGTAAAAATGACAATTCTGAATGAAAAACAAGTTTTCTTTTTATAAAAATTACATATTTTTTTAAAATACAAGATCCTTTTCATTGTTATATCCTGTAGCAATGAGAAATTTTGGCTTTTTTTTTTTTTTTTTGCCAGATACTGCAGCTTTCAGTCCAGTATGTCAGTAGCAAATTCCACTAATATTTCAGTTGGATCTTGAACTACTTTTTATACCACAAGCTTCTTCTGTTTTATCCTTGAATTAGGAATATACAGCCTTTTTTTTTTTGCCCCAGGTATTTATGCTGGCACACTGAAACAAAAAACAGTAGGCTGGACACATTAAAGTATCTCAAGCACTTCAGAGGCCAGAGTTCCTTTGAAGCACCTAAACACATCACTTTATGGATCAAGGACAATGTGGCATAATGGAAATATTTCTCTTAAGACTGTGCAGTAAGACCAGATGCATCTCTGCTGGGAAATCAAAACGTCATTAGTGGAAACTGCAAATTTAAACCTCAGTGAAGAGGGTTGTCGCTGGACTCAGTTCTGTTGTAAAATAAGATTTTCCAGTTCATCTGCGGAACGCAATAAAAATGCAGCGGATTCCCGATATCCTGCAACCAGCTGTCTCACTGCATTGATTTCAGTTGGACTCAGCTGGGGTCTGGAGCTCGAACTGCTGGAGGATCCTGAGCTGGTCGCCAACTGCCTCTTCATGCTGAGATCAGTGGGTCCTAGAAAAAATCAGCACAAATTAGACATGGACAAGTTTTCTTCTAGTATCTTGAACATGAGCACTAAATAAATTAGTGTTGATTTAATTCACCTATTCTCTTGTGAGAAGCTACTGATACCCTTAATCAAATATATCTGCTCTCAGAAAGATGGAAGAGCAACACGATGGGAAGAGTGGCTGGATTTTCTTAGACTCCTGGTCCAGCCTCTGGCGGTCACTTCTAATTGTGGAAAGACAGTGAAGAAATTCTCTTAACATGTGCTTTTTGGAAAATTCAATGTTAAGTCCACCTTCCACAAGTAGAAGCTTCTCTGGGGTAGTAGAAAATGATGGGAATCACATTTTTTATTTGCTACGTTTGATAACAAATAATTTGCACCCCACCAATTCAGAAATGAAAAGAGCCTACATGGTGAGGCTAATGACCCTCGATTACAAACTTTTCAATTTAGAACAGAAGAAACTGAGGACTGCGGGGGTTCAATGACACATTTAGAGGTCAATAACTTTTAAGTGGCACAATAGGGATGTGAATTGCATATTTTTTTTTCATTTCAGGCCACTTCTTTTTCCACCAGGTTGATTAGTATTTAAAAATGTGAATATATTAGACTGAAGTTTGCTTTCAAAGTGTATTGTATTGTAAGTATATGATTAGTACAAACCATACCACAAAGAAACTAGACTTGGAATACTGCTTTAGGTATTGTTAAATACCTATTTAAAAATATTTATTTGCACAAAACACTCATGTGTCAACACTTTTTCCTCACATATATTTAACTAAATCATATAGGTCTGCTTTTTGATGACATTTTTGTAAATTTTTACTGAAAAATAATTTATTAAGTGATTTAAAACTCTTCAAGCATTTGTGTTAAGATTCTTTGTATGATTACTCTTAGATTACTATATTAGATATTTATTATATACCTAAGCATTCATTTTCATAGTTCTTACCTTTCATTAAGCAATTGCTATAATTATTAAATTTGCAGTAATACATTTAAAATCCTTGAAAAAATATTACTAAGCTCATAACTAAAGGCATGCTCCAAAACTGTATGATTCTATAACTTGAAAGTATTTTAACAGATTTTTTCCTAAGCATGTTATAAATTTTCAGATAGTAGTATTCATTTCATGAACTAAAACGAAGGTTGTTATTTTTTCCTTCTAGTTCTTCTTGAGGCATGATGGAGACAGGTCAAGATCCATCCCCTTACACCCTCTCGCCCAAAGGGAGAGAAGGACTTCCGTCAGCTAGGAGGCAGATGTCCCAGAAGAGGGAAGTAGCTTCACGTGGAATTTAATTAGGACAGAGACAGGAGTAGCACTCAAACTCTGACATCTGAGAGAAACTTATCTCCACTTCTGCCATGGCCTTTTCAAAGCTTTGGTTTTCTAGCGGGAGTCGGCTGCCATTTGTTCTGTTCACAAAATCGTGACACAGATATAACAAGCCGAAAGGGAGAGATGCAGGGATGTTACACTTGCAAATAGGAATACCGAACAAGCAAATCATTAACAGCAACTGTTTAGGAAATTCTGAGTGGATTAAGAAACCATCATGACGTAACAGGAGTTTGGGTCTCTGAATGAACGAACTTTAAATTTTACTTCTTCCCTTTACATTCAAGAATCCTAGTACAAATCTTATTTATCTATATATTTATTTATTTGAAGTATAGGTGATCTACAATGTTGTGTTAACTTCTGCTGTACAGAAAAGTGATTCATTTACATATATATGTATATATATGTATATATATGTATATATGTATGTATATATATATATGTATATATGTATGTATATATATATGTATATATATATGTGTATATATATATATATATATATATATATATATATACACACACACACACACACACACATATTCTTTTTCATATTCCTTTCCATTATGGTTTATCACAGGATATTGAATACAGTTCTCTGTGCTATACAGTAGGACCTTGTCGTTAATCTGTTCGATATATAATGGTTTGCATCTGCTAATCCCAAACTTCCAATCCATCCCTCTCCCACCTCCTCCCCCATTGGCAACCGCAAGTCTGTTCTCTACCTAGTACAAATCTTTATGAAAGAATTTTCCTCTCAGTTATGTAGATAACTAGTGTCTGGTTGGCTGATTGTCATTATTTGGCTGATTGTCATTGTTTCATTAGAAGGTGTAACGTTTTGTGATGGTTTTGCTGTCCTGCCAAGTTGCTGACTAGCATCTTGAACTGGAATTGAGAAAGGGTGGGGTGAGGGCTCCGGTTCTTTTTGGGGTGAGAGAGGTTGTGATTTTACTCTAATATTGAAGTTTATGGATTATTCTCCACCTCTGGCTCAAAGGTCTACACCTCCAAACTGAGACATGGCTTTCGCTTTCTTTCAGATTTTTATTAACATAGGCAAACTCTAGGTAGCTCAGTAATTGAGAAGCCATTCACAGCTCTGCTACTTTTTGTTCTGGAAGAAAGTTAACTTCATTATCTTGGTTTCTTTTAGATCTACAGGATCAGGGTTGAGAATATAAATCAAAAGTACAAGAAAATCTTTTTGCTGAATGTTGATTATTCAGATCATCAAAGTTATGAGGTTGGATAGTGAAGCAAAAAAAAAATTAAAATATTCACAAGTGAATAAATTATTTAACTAGTGACTGCTCAAACAGTCCTTCCCTGTTTGTCACTAATTTTCACTTCTGCCTCATTGAGTCAATGTCATACTTGACTGGTTTGGCCTAACTCAAACAATATAATGTAATTAAAATGCATGTCAACTATAGAGCAAAATTTCAAATTTTATGAAGTTGCTGAATTTAAAGAAGTCGAGAAAAGTATTCTTGCAGGCCTGATCAAATCACAGACAAGGCCACTGTAAAGTATGGTTCTGGAAGAGCAGGACCAGTTAATAAGAAAACGAGCAAGGAAAATGACCCACTAGATGCTTCAAGAGAAAATGATTTGAATATCTAGTATTAAGGCACATATTCAGGAAAATGGACAAGGCCACTTTTATATAAGTACAGCTGACCCTTGAACAGGTGAGGGTTAGAGGCGTCCACCCTCTGCCATGGATGAAAATCTGCCTTCTGTATCTCTGGTTCCTCCACCTGTGTGGATTCAGTTAACTGCAAATAGTGTAGGACTGTAGTATTTGCTATTGAAAAAAAAATCTGTGTAAGAGGATCCACATAGTTCAAACCCACATTGTTCAAGGGTCAACTGTACTTACTTTTAACCCAAATGATGCAGACCTTCTTAATGTTCATTCTGAAAAGCTGAATAAGAAATAAAAGATATTTCGTGCCAACATACAATGTTGTTAGAAAAATTAAGACCCACTAAAATCAACCCTTGATTTATTTTTTAAGGTTTGGGGGGGACAATTAAATTATAAGCAAATTCCAATTAAATGAAAATATAGATCCATAATTCTTTATTTTTTAAATTAAATATCAATTGAATACTTTCCCCCTATTTATGGTGCATTTTTGGCCCCTGTTTTAATTAGATTTACCTTTGTGGTCCTATTTTGGTGTCAATTATCCACAGATAATAGAAACCCCTGGACAAAGATTTGTTGTGTTTTTTAAAAACTTTGATAACCATTTTTACTATATGTACTGAGGAAGAATGCAAGACCCATGAAGGCAGGCACCCTTTGTGTCTTACCACATTGTTCTAGGTAGCTGTGGTGGTGCATGGCATAAAATAAGGCTCAATAAGTATTTGTGTAACAAATGAATGAGAAATGCCAGGTACTTTCTACAGCTAGCACTCAAGAAACGGAGAATGAGTGATGTCATTGATAATACCCAATTATGGTTAAATGAAAACTAGTTAGACATGGAAAATAGTAGATTTAGTGTAACTTATTCAAGTAAAGTTACCTCTACTATATGGGAATATTAGTATTGCTCTGAAAGTTATCATCTGAAATTGTGGAAAAATAAGTAGAATTGCTTATAACAGTACTTTCCATGTGAATTGTTGCTGAAAAAGAGAATAATAGTTACTGTCCTTTGCCTAAATAATGTTTTCCCACTAAATGTTACAATGAGTATTGAGTTGGACATAAAAACCTCCTAACTGCATGCAACCTTCTCCTACTTCCCCTCCTTTACCTACAACCTCTACTCCCAAGTCATGCACTCTGAAATGTTTGGATAACTGGCAATTCACTTAACAATTTTAAATAAGTTTTCAGATTCATGCTTTTAAGCATGATGGGCCAGATAGTAAATATTTTAATCATTACAGGTCAAGAGGCATTTAGGTACTCATAGTTAAAAAGTTTTGTGAGAATACACTTTTTTTATTGAGATATAATTCACATATAACATTATTTCAGGTGTACAATATAATGATTCAATATTTGTATATAATGCTAAATGATCACCACAATAAGTCTAGTTAACAACCATTATCACACATTGTTACAAACTTATTTTTCTTCAGATGAGAACTTTTAAGACCTACTCTCTTAGCAGCTTTCAAATATATCAATACAACACAGTGTTAGTAACTGTCGTCACCATGCTGTACACGACATCCTCATGACTAACTTGTAACTGGAAGTTGTCCCTTTTGATGATCTTCACCCATTTCACTCACCCGCCCAGCCACCAATATGTTCTCTATATCTGTGAGTTTGTTTTCATGTTTTTTTTTTTTTTTCCAATTCTGCATGAATTGAGATCAAACAGTATTTGTCTTTCTCTGAGTTATTTCACTTAGCATAATGCCCTCACGGTCCATTCATGTTGTCACAAATGGCAAGATTTCCTTTTCTTTTCATGGCTAAATCAAATTCCATTGTGTGTGTGTGTGTGTGTGTATTTATAATTTTATATATTACATATATTATAAAATTATATGTATAATTATATATGTAATTATGGTTATATAATATATAATTATATGTATCCATAAATATATATATAATTTTATATATATATAAAATTACATTTTCTTGATCCACCCATCTAT